GCCTAGGTCACACCCATGACTCATAAATTATGAATCAGTGAGTCTGTGGTGCATTTTTGGTGTTGGAATGCTCAAAAGCTTCCATATGATTCTACTGTGTAGCCATACTTAGAGAGGTGCCACCTGATTTAGGAGGAATAATCTTAAAACCTAAGCAGAGTGACTTTTTAATAAATATCAAAGTAACACTTTAGTCAAAAAGTGGAAATATATGATCAATATGAAACTAAGACTCTCATTAACAAAACCCAAGGACCACGTTTCTTCTAGGGAGTGGTGTGCCAATAAGTGTTTAAAACCATATCCTCAAGAAATAAAGCCTTAACCAGTTATATTTTGCCTATTTCCCTGGTGTAAATTCTCCCACCATGACTGATTTCAAGCTACCACCCAGCATGCCAAATTCCTGAAAATCTAACAATCAGCTCTTGTGGGACAATTTAAGCCAGCTCTGCTTCTCAGAGAACTACATCAGGTATGCCAATCTCTATCTGATTGACATCAGTAAGTTACTTATCCTTTGAGGATGAGTTGTACTTATTTAGATTGCAATATATACTCATCAATTGCCATTTTAAAAGTTGTGTACATCAGCAGAGTTATTTAGCAATGTTTGCCAGCTTTTTAATAAGTTTCTTGTTTGTTTTTATTTATGAAAATAATCCTAATATATAAAAACCCAGGGTTGCTGTGGTGACCCGGCACTGACTGCCCGGCTGCAGGAGCCTGGACCCAGCACTAAGTGCCAAAGGGGCTGTGGATCAGGCACAAAGAGAGGCCTGGGGTGAGAAGCAGGGTGGATCTGTAGCCTTCGTGGCAGCTGTTGATCAGCACTTACCTCTCCTTTGCTCTAAGCCTGGCCAGCAGCCATGCCTCTCTTTCTTTCAGGCCTTCACTGGGGCTGCTGATCAACCCCACTTCCCGAATAGTCCCAGAGATGCTGACTGGCATAGAAGCAGACCAAATCTGGGTGAAGTGTGAGGAGCCAATGGCTGCCTAAGAGGTAAAGCTTTTGACGCTGACTGGCATAGAAACTGGTCAATCAGAACCTACGTAATCTGGGTGAACTGGGAAGGCAGAACCTAAGGAGGGGTTTTAAGGGCAACAATTGTTCGATGTGAGGTGTATGAAAGCAGTTCAATTTTTTAATGACTAGTTTGGCAGTATAGTACATATGGCTGGCTATCAGTCCAGATATAGGTATAATGTATTGTCGTCTGACAAGAGCATCTCCTCCTGATGAAAAAGGCTCCCCCCCCCCACTTAAGCAATACTATCATATATAATCTATCTATACTACTAAAAATGTAATATGCTAATTAGACCAGATCAACTGGCCATCTTCTGGACCTCAGACTTCCTTCCAGACAAAGCTATTGTGGTGGGGGCCGAGGCAGAGACCGTTAGGGGCGATCAGACTGTCAGGGGAGAGCAGTTGGGGGGCAATATCAGGCCCACAGGGGAGGGCAATTAGGAGCAATTGAGCATGCAGGCAGAGGCAGTTAAAGGTGATCAGGCAGGCAGGCAGAGAGGTTAGGGGCAATCAGGCAGGCAGAGAGAGGCCATTAGGGGTGATCTGGGAGGCAGGTAGGTGAGCAGTTAGGAGCCAGCAGTCCAGATTGTGAGAGGGATATCCGACCACCAGTTAGGCCTGATCACCCAAGGGGTCCCCAATCAGAGAGGGTGCAGGCTGGGCTGAGGGAATCCTCCCCCATCCTTGTGCATGAATTCTGTGCACTGGGCCACTAGATTCTTAATAATATTGGTCATTTGGTGTGCAAATAAACAGCTCTGAGATCTTGTACAATCTCTGCATTTTGAGGTTGACTGAAATGATCTTTTTGAATATCATGCACATCTTATATAATAAAAGGCTAATATGCAAATTGACTGAACATTGGAATGACCAGTCGCTATGATGCACACTGACCACCTGGGGGAAGATGCTCAATGCAGGAGCTGCCCCCCGGTGGTCAGTGCATCCCACAGGGGGAGCACCACTCAGCCAGAAGCCGGGCTCATCATGGCTGGTGAGTGCAGTGGTGGTGGGAGCCTCTCCTGCTTCCCCAGCAGTGCTAAGCACCCCTGGAAGTAAGTGTGCCTGCAAACTTAACAACCCCCGAGGGGTCCTGGGCTGTGAGAGGGCACAGGCCAGGCTGAGGAGAACCCCCCCCCCCAAGTGCATGAATATCATGCACCGGGCCTCTAGTTACTAGATAAATGACAATAACACAAGATACATCTATCATGCTTCTTCTAGGCCAAGCACTGTTCTAAACTCTTTGCATATATCAACTTGTTACTCATAACTCTGAGGTGTGTTTTATTATTATCTCCACCTTGACAGATGAAGGAACTCAGAATCAGAGAGGTTAATTAACTTATCCAATGACACACAGATAGTCAGTAGCAAATTGGAACTTGAACTAGTCAGTCAGGTTGCTCTTAATGGACATATTTATTAAAAAGACCTAGAGAGCCCTGGCTGGTGTGGCTCAGTGGGTTGGGTATCATCTCATGCACCAAAAAGGTTGCTGGTTCGATCCCAGTCAGGTTACAGGTTACTGGGCATGCAGGAGGCAGTTAATCACATTGATGTTTCTCTCTCTCCCTTTCCCTTCCTGTCTCACTAAAATCAATTTTTAAAATCTTTTTTTTTAAATACCTAGAGAATAAAAATTATTTTCTGAGATTATTTTTGAATAGTGCAGAAGTCTAGTCACCGCCCACACCCACCTTTCCGGTTATTTGGAAATCTTGTTCAAATCCAACAACATGATCACCTGCTAAAATAATTATTTTCTCTTTCTTATTATCAGTGTAGTGCCACGTTTCCTGTTTGGAAAGCAGAAAGTACCCAGGACTTTTGTATAAAAGTGCAATTGTATTTACTGAGGAATACCTTTTATAGCAAGTCATATTACCAAGAAAACGCCAAAAATAGCACTGGTTTTAAAATGCTCCTTTTTTATAGGTTTAGTTGGCTGGAGACAAAATTTTTTTAAAAATAAAGCACACCTCAGAGATGGAGAAGGTCTTTTATTTATTTTTTTAAAGTGTGCTTGGAAATCATTTTAAACTTGCAGAATAGGTTCAAGAATCAGACTAAGGCAAAGAAAACATGGCTTGAATTTATATCCATGTATTGTTAAATTTTATCCCATTTGCTCTACCAAATGCTCTCTTTCTGGATGTATGTATGTTGGTGTTTGTTTTTTTTCTGAAATGTTTTAGTAAATTGCATACATTATGGACCATGATCCCCAAATACTTCAATGTGTATTTCCCAAGGATAGGGATATTGTCTTACGTAGTCATAGTAAACTTTTAATCGCAGTTGCCATCTTTATTGCAGCTTGCCAGTGCCTCTAATATTGACCCTCGGAGTATTTATATTATCTGCACACGTCCAGCTAGAGGCACTGACTGCGTGTGGTGCCAGGTATGTTTAGTGCACACCCACGTGGGACATTTCCCCAGAGCCTCTGTTTGTCTTCTGTAACAATGGCATTTTTTAAGAATTCAACCAACACCCCGTTCCCCTTTTTAAAAGCACTTTCCTCATTTGGAGTTTGTCTGCTGTTTCTTCACGATTAGACCCAGACATGGATTCCAGGCCAGAATACGACACAGGTGATGTCACTTCCTTCTCTGGGTGTCACGTTGGAAGCCATGTGCTTTCCACCCGCCCTTCGTGGGCAAGGTTGCCGTCAGTGACCAGGTCAAGAGGTCATCCAGTTTTCCCTCTGTGCACTTGTTGTTCTTTCCCTTGTAATAATGAGCAATCTGTGTGGAGCACACTAATATCGCTCCTAACCGGAATTTCCCTCTCGCTTCAACACCACTGATCCGTCTTCCCTGAGCCGAGATTTCCTGTGATGGCTGAAAAGTGATGACTTTCCAATCCACACTTCGTCCACGTTTCCCAGTGTGCCCAGGGCACTCTACAGAGAGGAAGACAATTCCTTCTCCTCTCTCTCTCTCTCTCTCTCTCTCTCTCTCTCTCTCTCTCCCACTCCCTCCCTGCAATGTTACTCACTGATTCTTAATTTTCCCCAACAGTTTATAATTTATGTTTTTCTTCATTATTTTGCTTCTCAAATTATCCCAGTTTGGGCCAATCAATGGGAGTGCTTCAAGCTCATTTGAATATTTGGGTGACATACCTTGATTATTTGTTTGAACACGTCCTTACTTTCTGGCATAAGAAGAGATGTTAGACTCAGGTGGTTCCTGATGCTCTCACATTGGGATTGGCCATCTTCCCAGGAACCCTCCTTCGTTTTAGTGGGGCATGAAGTGTGGACACCAAGGTGTGGGTGCTGGGTGGGCTCATTCCCACGGAGGTGTCTGCTTCTAAGCTCATGGGCAGCTATAGCTAAAAAACACGTGCATGTGTGTGCGTGGACTGTAAGTCCCCCTCATTCCCGGCCTCACTTTCTGTGGTTTCAGTTAGTCACCTGCAGTACATGAAGTCCAAAAGTATTAAAATGGAAGATTTCAGAAATAAACAAATCAGAACTTTTAAATTCCGCAGTGCTGGGCAACACAGTGAAATCTCGCGCCATGCTGCCCGCCCCGCCTGGGAGGTGACTCCCTGTCGGCTCTCCATGCTGTAGACGCTCCGTGCCCAGGAGTCACTGACAGCCGTCTGAGTTATCAGATCACAGGGCTTGTGTTCAAACAACCTTCGTTTTACTGCATATTGGCCCCAAAACGCAAGAGGGGTGCTGCTGGCAATTCGGATATGCCTTAAAGTGCTTCCAACAGGCATCTTCAAACTACGGCCCGCGGGCCACATGCGGCCCGCAGAGGAGTCTGATCCGGCCCGCCAAGTTTTTTGGGCAGTGAGCGCAGCTGAGGTGTTACAGTAGGAATTAGTAGTTCATATAGTCCGGCCCTCCAGCTCTCTGAGGGACCGTGATCTGGCCCCCACTTTAAAAAGTTTGAGGACCCCTGGCATTGAAAAGGTGAAGATGATACAAGATATTTGAGAGAGACCACAGTCACATAACTTTTATTAGAGTATATTGTTATAATTGTTCTATTTTATTGTCACTTATTGGTGTTAATGTCTTACTGTGTCTAACTTATAGATTACACTCTATCATAAGTCTGTATGTCTAGGGAAACGACATAGTATATAGAGGGTTTGGTACTATCTGCGGTTTAAGACATCCACTGGGGGTCTGGGAACATATCCCTGAAGGCTAAAGGCTAAGGGGGAACCACTATCGACATATACATAAACACATATGTGCATACACACATCAGTACATGTCAAATTGTACACACACACACACACACACACACACGCAAATACATGCGTTAGAAACCGTGAATTTCCATCTGTTCCAGCGCATTTTCACCTTGTTGTTTCCCCCCTCATGCCACAGCTGCGTGCTCCTTCTTCCAGAGGAAAACTCTGGCTCCTAACATTCAAACATCTCATTTGCTCAGTCAGGTAATATATCTGAAATAGGTACATGATTATTGGAACACAGTGTCCCCTCTTTCCTGCCAATCCAAATCCACTGGACCCAGTAATTTCATGCCTCGTAATTTATCCAAAAGAGAGTCTACAAACAGCCTCGTATGAGAATGTTTACAGGAGCTTTGTTCACCATAGCCCCAGGTTGGAAATAGCCCCACTGTGTTAAGAGAAAAAGAGAGAAAGAATCTGTGATACATTCACGCAATGGGCTACTACTCAGCGAGAAAAAGAAACCCGTTCCTGCTGCAGGAACAATGTGGACGAATTTCAAAAACATGCTGCGTTTAAAGAGGCAAACAAAAGGACGCATAATGGATGAGTCCAGTTACATGAAGTTTGAGAACAGGCAGAACAAATGAATCTATGGTGATAAAAACGAAGCCACTGTTTGCTTTTGTTGGAGATGATGAGAGAGAGCAGGATGTGAGCTGGGAAGAGTATGGGACAGCGTTCTGGGCTTAAGGAAATGTACTATGTCTTAAACAGGGTGTAGGTGACATGGTGCATGCGATGGGTTAATCTTTACCTTGAAGATATTTGCATTTCGCTGTCGATAAGTTAACCTCAATTTAAAAGAAATGGGCTGGAGCCCAGTTCAGCTGGAACGTTAACCCTCGCTTTGAAGCTGCTCCTCCGGATTGCCTCACTTCTGCTCCTCCCCAGGCGCTCCCTCCTGGCAGGCATTTGTGTGAGTGGCCCCTGACCAGCACGTTTGCCTCCTTTTATTATCATTGCAAGTATCCAAAACACAAGTTAGAATTTTACAAGTAATTAGATGGCATTATCAACTATTTAGGTCAGGGCAATCTAGATGCTTTAAGACAGCAAAGATGCAAGCAAATTGAGCATATTTGAATAATGCTGGATTGTAAATGGATCCTCCGCGGAGGCCTTTGCCTGACTGCTCTATCCAGATGAAAGCAGGAACAAGCAAACTGCAGTGTAGTCAGACTCTGCCAGGGAAACAGCTGAGCAAATACCAGGTCAACGAGGCGTCGGTTTTCTCAGACCTTCTCGTAGATCCTGGTGCAGACCACGCCTTTCATCCTACATTCCTTTAAAAGAGAGAGAGGTCAGCTGGACTCCGAAAGCCCACACACGAGGGGACTGCAGATGTGTAGGTGATAACAGAAATTAAAAACCATCCCATGAGATTACACTCAGAAAAGTTTAAAATGTCAGCATGTCAGTCTCCAGTCATTTAAATCCACGGCCACTAAAGCAGGAGAAACAATTGATCTAGGCTACGGCAAAAGAATTCTTTTAAAATGGCAACTTCCTCTACGCTGTTCACCTGAAAGTAATACAAAATAGTATTGAGTGGAAAAATAAATAGATAAATAAAATTATATGCATGTTTTAAGTCTACTGAAACAGTTGTTTTCAAAATCACTTGCACTTTTGCCTTGTCTGGGGAACACTTAAAAATACTGATGCTCCTCCTCCCCAAAGGTGTGATCTGTGATGGGCCCTAATGGAACTTACTCCCCATGGAAGGCTATTGCGCAGCCAGGGACCAAAACTCTCTGTTCTAAGGAAGAGACACTCAAAACAGCATGTGAATCTATTCATAGTCAACATATGTGCTAATTAGTGAGCACAGAACCTAAAACTTCAAAAAATCATCAGAGGGCACTTCATGTAACCTTTATCATCCTTCTTATCTGCAGACTCATGAGGGCTGCTGTGAGCTCAACTTCAATCATGGACGTGGGTTAGTCCAACTTACTGTGGATCCTTGAAAACACCCAGATATCTACAAATATTCACTAATTGAGCCTTTTGGGTTTGTTTTGCTTGTAGAACTTAGACTTGCTTTTCTCTTTGTGAGTCCCAATTGGTGAGATTTAGCCATACCTCTTTAATTTGACTATCATTTTAGGCGTTCTTATTTCTAAAGTAACAAGTGGGCTTTCTTAATTCTAAATTCTCAAGAGTGAAACTGGAACTCTTGATAGTTTAAGCGTCATGCAAACACTAATTCTGCCCCACTCTGAGCCATTCTTAGCCATTGGGATTCCAAAGAAAAAAGAATATTTTTGAAAATATTATAACCAATTTCTTTATTTCAATGGCATCATTTCTGTATTTAGAAGTAAAGACTCACTTACCACAACCATTTTCCCATCCACCAGCTTTCTCTTTATTGTGGTTTCCTTGCCATCCCATTTCTGCACTTGGTTCAATGAGCCTCTGGCCAAGGTTACGATGCTCTGCGAAGACAAGTTTACGTAATTGACTTGCGTGGCTGTTGTTTGATTAAAGAAGCGTTAGTAAGCACATTCATTTCCCACAGAAGGAAGCAGTCTATGCTTTCAACCCTAGAGGAGTTATCCTCTCTCAAGCTGGAGACTTTGAAGAGAAGCATTGACATTTACCTTTGCTTTCCGGTTGTCAGCTGTGGTTTCTTCAAATTCCTGGCCGAGCTTGAAAGAGATCTCTGTATTTTTAAAGGAGCTTTCAGTCCTTATGGTTATAATATCCCCTTTCTTACTGATGATCACTTTGGGTTTGGCCAAATTTCCCAGTTTCCTGGTGGCTAGCCCCACACCTGAAAATCAAGGTAGAATTAGAATTATGCTGACCCAGAAGGAGCACCTACAGAGCCTGGAGGCCACATTGGGGCCCAGGGGGCAGATGGCAGGTGGTGACAACCACAACTAAGAACCTCTCCCATGTTTCACCTCCTAATGGAAATGCATGTCGTAGACTCTGATGTTTAGGTTTTGTTACTAAGGTAACCTCTGCAAATTTGCAAGGTAGAAGTGTTCAGCCCACACAGTGTGAGTCATCCAACGGCACCTCCATTGAAAATCACTCACCACATCCACCAGCACCTCCCCTGGGCATCACCCACTGTAGTTTTGTATCGACCAGTACAGTTTAGTTTGCACACAGATTATAGACTTTTTTAAAATGATGCTATGCGGAAACCGGTTTGGCTCAATGGATAGAGCGTCGGCTTGGGGACTGAAGGGACCCGGGTTCGATTCTGGTCAAGGACATGTTCCTTGGTTGCGGGCATATCCCCAGTAGGGGGTGTGCAAGAGGCAGCTGATCAATGACTCTCTCTCATTGATGTTTCTAGCTCTCAATCTCTCTCCCTTCCTCTCTGTACAAAATCAATAAAATATATTTAATAATAATAATAATAATAATAATAAAAATAAATGATGCTATGACAGATATGTCCCATGACTTTTCTCCCTCAGTAACATACTATGGATATAGCAAAGAGTTCCCCCGCATCCTTGATTGAATTTCATTTCTGAAATTTGTTGCAGCCCCTAAATCTAGTGAGTGGAAAAAACATCCATTTCCCTCCAAGACCTACCTGTACTATTCCAATTTATCATTAGTGAATAAAAGCATTAATTTTTTTCCCTGTATTTGAAAAAAAATTAGACTCAAGTATTATTAATAGGTATCCAAAATTATATTAAACATAGAAAAGGGAAATGTCCAATGAGAGAAATATATTGAAATATATGAAGGGAAAACTAGTGTGTGTGTGTATCCCTCAAAAATGCATACACGCTTTGTTTTGTTTTTTGTTTTTGTTTTTTTGTTTTTGTTTTTTTAAAAAATATGTTATATTGATTTTTTACAGAGAGGAAGAGAGAGGGAGAGAGTTAGAAACATCCATGAGAGAGAATCATTGATCAGCTACCTCTTGCACACCCCCTACTGGGGATGTGCCCGCAACTAAGGTGCATGCCCTTGACTGGAATCGAACCCAGGACCTTTCAGTTCGCAGGCCGATGCTCTATCCACTGAGCCAAACCAGTTTTGGCCAGCATACACACTTTGAATAATTATAAAAGCAGTGTTTATTAAAATACATTTCATTTTAAAAATTGAGCTATCAGCCATTATAATGTGTATACATTTTTTGGACATCTTCTTGTATTATTTATTTAAATTATTGTATTATTTATTTGTATTATACTGTAAACCCACTTTTGCCCATCCCTGTGTCCACCTAATAAGAAGTGACAAGTTAGACCTGATAAAGCATGGTGAACTGTACTCTTTTTTTCTAATTCTGATTAATCATATTATCTTATAAGCTTTAGGGCAATGTTTTTCTAGCTAAATTTCTGCAGTGGAACCTGAGGATCTACATTTTACCACCCCTCCCACCCCCAGGCATTCCTGTGTGCTCTAAATGTTGAAAATGACAGAATTAGGGAGTCCTTTATTGAGACATTCTCAGATTTTGCTTCTTCCTCAGCTGTAAAGTGAAGTGTATGCATCTAACTAATCTGATAGTGCTGATTGATCCCAATAAGGTCTCATAGTTTTCTAGGCCACATGACAGGATTTTGCTCATTTTTATCTATAAAGAACCTTCCTCACTGGCTTTCTGAACAGGTAATAAAGCTACAGGCATTTTGGCAATCTGGGCAACCTGGGTCATTGGCCTCACTGTTCATTGGACTGATACAGCTCTGGGGTGTCCAAGGATTCTGCCCATTGATAGGCTCATCTCTGTGGAACAGTCTTTAGAAATAGTGTCAAATAAAGTTGATGTCACTAATGGCCTGGTTTTCCATCCATTGTTTCAACTCCAAGAAAGTCTAATGCCAGTGTAATTGAGTTTGAATTCACTGCCACAACCCATTCTTTTTATCTGAGAACTTCCCTGGGCTATAAACACCCTGCTTTAATGCACCTTCTTTTTACAAACTCTCTCTCTACATGATTATGTAGTGATGCACAACCTAGAGATAGAGAGAGAAAGCTTATAGCTTAGCTAAACATCAACATTTTAACGTCAGTATCTTCAGCTCCTTGTACTATGGGCCCTTCAGTTGTTACAAAGCCAGCATTCAGGAACGCTGAGGAACGGGCTGACTACACATCAAAGACTTCTTTCCTGTGGTTCTGAACCCAAAGCCCTATTGAAACGAAACTGCCTTTGGAAATGGTGGCAGTTCCATGCATCTAAGCAACTCTCATGTAAGTTAAAATCTATTAAAATTGCCACAAAGGAAATACAAACAAATTATCAGGCACCAGCAGAGGCTTGCACTTCAGCCTGCAAACTGCCCCAGCCTCCCGGAAAAGGAGGCAGATGGCAACAGTCACACAACATTCTCCAGAGGAGCCTTCGCAGCCCGGAGAGGAAAGAGCTTCCTTACCCAGCGCTCTCATGTAGGCATCGAAGTGCTCGCTGGAGACCAGCTTCCAGGCGCCCACAAAGCTGCTGCTCATGGTGCTGGAGGAGAGCGCGGCCCGTTCCCGGGAGGTTCAGGAGACTCCGTGAGCAGCTGGGCCTCAGAAGGCGCTTTTCAAAGATGCCCATGGCACGTGAAGCCCACAGACACCCAATGGGAAAGGCAGTCAGGCCCAGGCAACGAATGGCCCATAAATCATCCACTGGGACAAAAGAAAACTCCACATAATGTTCCCTTTCATTTCCAAAAATTTTTATAAAAATCAGCAAGAGTACTATTTGAACTTTCAAAAAAATTCTTTGTTGATCTTACATTTTTAAGAAGTGCAGGAATTGAGTCCTATACCCCTATACCGAACTAAATAATCTGAGCTTGAATGAATGAAGGCGTGTGTATGTGTGTGTGTGTGTTCAGGCATCTTGGTCCCTCTCAGTCCTGAGTCTGCACAATTACGAATTCTTATTGAAAGGGAAGCCTGGGGGAGAAATGTCCCTGCGTGCTGTGGTGACCGCCGCCTCCATGCTGTGGGAGAGAAAAGCCAGAGCAGCGTGCGGACGTGTCATAGGTGAGGGAGGCTCGGCATAGCTCACATACTCAGGGGGGCAGGGTGGGCGGCAAACACAGCCAGTGTGTTAGAGCGGGGACAGAGCCCGGATTCACGGGGACAAGAACAGGCCGCCACACGCTCCTTGGCCCCAGCGACGATCGTCATCTAAGCAAACGCTTGAGTCTGAATTAGGCAGGCTCTTCGTTAAAACAGAAACTTTGAGTGTAAGTCCTTTAAAATAAATCCACAGTTCTATAAAGAGAACGGGTTTTCTATAGAAGAATCCTAATGTATTCATCTTTAACAGTCCCAGGCGCTAGGTACTGGTATTTTAACCATTTTGCCAAAGAGAAAAGCGGGGGTCATGGCAGTTGGTAACTTGTTCCCAACACTTGACTGAGGAGAGGCAGGATTCGAACCGGGCGTTGTTCCCTGGTGCCGCGACTCTAGGTCAGTATTTTGCACAGCTTCTCCTCTGCCTCTGTGCACAGAGGCCCTGGCTAAGGTCAGGCGATCCTGACGTCACCAGGACTAGACAGGGACACTCACCCCAAGTCAAGAAAGGGGAAGGTCATGATCTGAAGCCCCCAGGCTCCCACGGTCATCAGAGCCCCCGTCTGATCAGGGGGATAAATGTCAACCCCCCTCGAATAGGAGTGTTGCTCTTGGGAATGATGCCTCGTTGCTGCCACGCCTTTTCTGGCAGCTTTTCGCCCTGGCTCTCCTCCTGCCTGTGAGGCAGCCGGTACTGTGTGTGTGTATCGGGCTGGCACTCCTCACAGCCATCAGGCCTCGGTGATCCACTTGCTCGTGACAGAGCTGCTGGCCCCAGGGCTCAGGTCCCCAGTGCTGCAGCGGTGCCCTCACCATTGCGATCAGGTGGTTGTTTAACCTAGGCTGCTGGTTTGATCTGTGGTTGGGGCACATGTGGGAGGCAACTGGCCAATATTTCTCTGGTACATCAATGTTTCTCTCCTCTCTCTCTCTCTCTCTCTCTCTCTCTCTCTCTCTCTCTCTCTCTCTCTCTCTCTCTCTCTCAAAAAAAACAAACAAAAAAAAAACCAACAATAAAAAAAACATAGCCTTGAATGAGGATTTCAAAAAGAAGACAATCATAAGAGCCTTCCTGTGCTGGTCCATTGCACGCGGTCTTTAACCCTCCCCACAGTGCTGTGACCCGCTCTCCACTTGCCAAGGGGAAGCTCGGTGGTTGAGCAGCTCATTTCGTGCTCACACAGCTGTCGCTGGCAGGAGGACTCGGGTCCATCCCCCACTTCACCCGGGGGGCTCTGGGTGACAATGGGCTCTGTGTGTCCAGGGCTGCTGGGTAGGTGGTCCCTCCCCTCCTTGCCCCTCCCAAACCACACAGCATCCAGATACCAAATGTCAAAGTGGACAGACGATATTTCCCACTAAACGTTCAAAAAGAAACCTTCAGAACCTATAATCTGGGGATTAGGTTATGCCGTAACACTTTATCCTAATTTTCTATCAATTTTTGGTTATTAATTTTTGAATAGTCAGTCAGCTCTCTTTCTATGGCCAGTGGGGGGGAAAAAAAAGTATGTCCATTTGTGTTTATTAAATGTTTGTGTAAAAGTAGGAAAATTAAATACACTAAGTATATTCAAAAATTTTTTTTGTCAGTGAGTTACTAAATAGTATTGGATATAAAAAGAAAGAAAGAAAGAAAGAAAGAAAGAAAGAAAGAAAGAAAGAAAGAAAGAAAGAAAGAAAGAAAGAAAGAAAGAAAAGAAATCCAGTTAATCATCCTATATAATAAAGAGCTAATATGCAAATGGTCATCACGCCCTCACATCCTCACATCGTCATGCCCTCATGCCCTCATGCTGAAATGGCTCAGACCCTTGACACTGGGGAGAGAGGAATGGGGACCAGCCAGGCTGCGGCCTGGAAGTAGGACAAGCCACACACCAGCAGCTACGCCTATGCCGGTAGCCCAGGAGAGGGACCATCCGCGTGCTCCATGGTCCCCGTGGACCTGGGTGCCTGTAGCTGTGCCTGTGGCCGAGGAGAGAGACAAGCCACCCACCCCACGGTCCCAGGTGCCTGCACCTGAGGCCCAGGCAAAGCTGCCCATCTTCGGTCCCCTGCAGCTGCAGCCAGCCCAGGCAAAGCCAGCCCAGGTCCTGGGTGCCTGCAGCTGGCCAGAGGAGGGAATCCTGGGTCCCAGGTGTGGGGTGAGGGAGAGGCAGTTAGGGGCAATCAGCCCAACAGGGGAGCAGTTAGGGGTGATCAGGCAGGCAGGCAGAGGGGTGAGGGGTGATCAGGCAGGCAGGTAGGTGAGCAGTTAGGAGCCAGTGGTCCCGGATTGCAAGAGGCAGTCGGAATCCCCCAAGAGGTCCCAGATTGGAGAGGGTGCAGGCCGGGCTGAAGACACCCCCTCCCCATGCACGAATTTCATGCACCAGGCCTCTAGTTCTCTAATACTACTATTAATCATGGTTTTATTATGATTGATTTTGGTATCATTTATGTTTTTCTACAAGCATCAGTCTGTATTTAAAATAGAATAGTTTACTATTAAATTATTCAGAACAAAAAAATTTTTAAGTTCTTTATTGTTTAACAAACATTTTTTAAAACAAAATGTATTTTCCTGTGTGGCTTATAAAACCTACACTCACTTCCTTTTTTCAAAACCTTTGGCAAGTGAATAAATAATGGCTTTTTGTTGCTCAACTCACTATTAATGTATAGTTTTGTTATTTCCAATACAACTTTATACAAATGACATTTTATTATTTCCTTGTACATAGATAATGACAAATCTAATGCAATTGATTACTGTGACTATTCACAGACAGGTAATGACTTTTGAAGGCAAGGCAGATATGCCAAGAGACTACCGTATTTTCCGGCGTATAAGACGACATTTGAAACGAAAAAAATTCAACCGAAAATCGGGGGCGAAAGACCAAAATTGCACAAAAATTACCTGCAGATCTTGATGGCAAAGTAAGTCTTTTCTTTGAAGTGGGAGGGTAGTCTTATACAGCGAATATAGGCCTAAATCTATGTTTTAACTGTAAAATTAGGTGGTCGTCTTATACACTGGAAAATACAGTAATTTTTTTTAATTGATTTCAGAAAGGGAGGAGAGAGAAATAGAAACATCAATGATGAGAGAGAATCATTGTTTGGCTGCCTTCTGCATGTTCCTTACTGTTGACTGAGCCCACAACCCTGGCATGTGACCTTGACCAGAATCAAACCTGGGACTCTTTAGTCCACAGGCCAATACTCTATCCACTGAACCAATCTGGCTAGGGCAAGAGGCTGATCTTACAAAAAGTCCTTAGAAGACTAAGGAGTCTCAGTAGAAACCTATTTCTTACAGACATTTGACTGAGAATAAGATTAAAGGCTGTAGGGCTTCATGATGCCTCTGCTACTGGCAACGTCAGAAGGCAGTCGGAACTTCCCGTCTAACCCAGTGCCTGTGTGCAGCTCCCGAGAGCATGGGCAGCAGTGGGGCGGAGTCAGGACCCACTGAATGAAGGGTTTTCTTGGAGCGCTGTGCTTCCCTGCTAAACACCCAGCACCAGGGTTTTGTTTCTCGTTGGGGCTCGTTGTACTCTGAGCTGTCCCATTTATGAGAGGAGAAATAAGTCTTGAAGATTCAGGACTGTATACTTCTTTTCGTAGTTATGCCTCTGTAACACCAAAGATTTCAATGAGCCAGTGTCTAGTGTTTTATAGAGTAAAATATTCTCCCTGGTGGTTGTGAATCACATCTGCACCTGCTGAGACGCTGCCAAGGTACCTGTGCTCTGACTACGGAGGCGTTGGTCCCTGGTCCTGTCATGCACAGGACACTACCTGCGGGACTAGAAGCCCCTGTGAGTCCTGGGGAGCGAGCATGCTCACATCTGTACACACCTGTGTCCTTTAAGGGTGGGCAGGGACAGGTCCTGTGGGGATGCTGTTCCTGCTCACGTCAGCAGGGGTGTGGCCACCACCAAGTGGTCCCTGCGGGTGCACTGCTGTGTGCTCAGAGGTTGCCAGGGTTCATCTGAGAGCCCTCCCTTCTCTCCTGCCAGGGGCTCAGCTCTGGCCCGGCCCTGCTCAGTCTTCCTGTGCATTATTGCCCTTCAATCCCCCCTGACCACCCTGGTTTGCCTGGGACGGTCCCAGTCATGCTTATTACCCAGGTGTGATCACGGAGAGTGCTCCTGGCTAGTACCACTTCTCACCCAGTTCAGATGACAAATGACATGGACTTTTCATTTTAGCACACATTGGACACAACTCCAGACTTATTTTTAACCAACTATTGTCTATTTTTAAATTTAAGGTGCAAAGAGACAACCAAGATGGCGGCTTAGGGCAGACACCCGAATGCAGCCTACCACAACAAGTTTGAATTTAGAACTGAAAAACGGGGGAAACATCACCCTGAAGCGCCGGACGGTTGGCTGAAGGGAGGCTCTACCATCTGGGAAGGAGAGAGAAGGGGTGCTGAACCTCAGGAACTGTGAAGGTACGGAAAACTGTGCGTGCAAAAAAGCGGCGGCAGAGTTCGCTGCCGGCTGGCTTGCGGAGCGCGGAGAGGGTGGGCCGAGTTCCCTGCGGGCTTACTCCCTGCGCGCGGAGAGGCGGACAGCTAATGCGCGGCTGGCTTTCTTGTTCGGGAGGAAAACAAAACCACCCTATTGCGCTGACAGACAGCCCCAGACAGGAAGAGGCCAGACTGTTGGGCAGTGGGCAGAGATCTCTCTGAGGTGTGTGAAGCCAGCGGCCATTACTGCAGGACTCAGAAACCAGACCCTCATAGGGAGGGGCTGAATAAAGCTTGTCTGCACCACCCGAGACTACGCCCCATCCAAGCAGAGCATAGAGGCCCTTCCAGTGGCTAGCTTCCTCGTTCACTGCCAATAGGACTCTCCTAGGGAGGGGCAGACAGGAATCTAAAGCTTGTCTGCGCCTATACCAAAGAGGTGCGCGCGCCTACAGCCAATTGTGCGGGATTCAACAAAGCTTGCCTGTGCCACCCCAAGACTCCGCCCATCCAAGCAGAATACAGAAACCCTCCTAGCTGAGACTCTTCTGATCCTCATAGCCAATTGGCTTGGAGATCAACACTTCCCAGTGATACCAACAACAAGCAAGTCTTAACAACAAGACTGCCCACCCATCAAAGGGCTACACCAAGACTATCCACCTCAGGTAACTGGGAGGCTGACTCACTGAACCATATAGGACACCTTAGCACACAAAGCCACCCTACCAATTCAGGGAAACTTTGAAAATGCCAAGACAAGGAATTAGATCACAAACAAAAGAAATGGAGGAAAAGAAGAGACTGGATATAGAGTTCACAACCACGCTTATAAGGTTTTTTAAGAATTTCCTAGAAAAGGTCGATAAGACCTATGAGGAGATGAAAAGGGATCAACAAGAACTAATAAGGGATCAACAAGAACTAATAAGGGTTCAACAAGAACTAATAAAGGATCAACAAGAAATAAAGAATACATTGTCTGAAATAAAAAGTATTATACAGAGTCCTAAAAACAAAATGGAAGATCGCAAGAATCAGGTCAAAGATTTGGATCATAAAGAGCCAGAAGATACTCCTTCACAGAAGCAAGAAGTCAAGAGAATCCAGAAAGTTGAAGATGACTTAAGAAACCTCTGGGACAACTTCAAGCGAACCAACATCAGAATTATGGGGGTCCCAGAAGATGAGAGAGAGCAAGATATCGAAAACATACTGAAAGAAATAGTGACAGAAAACTTGCCCCACCTGGTGAAAGAATTAGACTTACAAGTCCAGGAAGCGCACAGAACTCCAAACAAAAGGAATCCAAAGAAGACCACACCGAGACACATCATAATTAAAATTCCAAGAGCAAAAGACAAAGAGAGAATATTAAAAGCAGCAAGAGCAAAGCAGGTAGTTACCTATAAAGGAGCACCCATATGATTGTCAGCTGATTTCTCAACAGAAACCATGCAGGCCAGAAGAGAATGGCAAGAAATATTCAAGTTAATGAATAGCAAGAACCTACAGCCAAAAATAATCTACCCAGCAAAACTATCACTCAGAATCGAAGGCCAGATAAAGAGCTTCACTAATAAAAAAAAGCTAAAGGAGTTCATCACAGCCAAACCAGAATTATATGAATTGCTGAAGGGGGTTCTTTTAGAAGAGAAAGTAAATAAAGATAAAAAGTATGAACAACAAATATGTAACTATCAACACGTGAATCTAAAAACCAAGGGAATTAAAAAAAAATCTTATGAACAATATTAACTGGTGAATATAATAGAATCAGAGGTATAGAAGGGGAGTGGACTGATGATTCTTGGGGAAAGGGGGAGAGAGGGGTATAGGAAGAGACTGAACATAAACTTTGCACCTATGGATGAGGACAATGGGGTGTGGGGAAAGGGCAGAGGGTGGGGTGGGAACCTGGTGGAGGGGGAAAAATGAGGAACTTTTGTAATAATATGAACAATAAAGATTTATTTAAAAATAAATAAATAAATAAATTTAAGGTGCACATAATCTACCTAATAAAAGAGTAGCATGCTAATTGACAATACCTTAATGACACCCACCAGCCAATCAGGAATGAGTATGCAAATTAACCCAACAAAGATGGCAGGTTAATTTGCATACATGGGTGCTGAGACACTGGGAGAGGGGGTGGGACGCTTGCATCGGACACAGGCATTCAGCACCATTCCAGTCACTCCGGGCCTCTGGACTGCATGGGAAGGTAGAAAGGCAGCTGCAGGCCAGAGCGAAGGCAGTACTGGCAGCCAGGGAAAGGAAGCCCATTCTTGCATAAATATTCATGCATTAGGCCTCTAGTATTTATATAATTCTTTCTCCCTTTTCTCCTCCCATTACTACAAATAGCCTCAGTTTTCTAGGCTTTACCCATTAATTTTTTCTGTATTAATAGGTTTGCTCTGAGCCCTGAGAGTACTTAGGAAAACCATTGGGACTTTGTGTAGCTCCAACAATTATTTCATTATTTATTTATTTATGTAATATATTTTTATTGATTTCCAAGAGGAGAGAGAGAGAGAGAGAGAGAGAGAGAGAGAGAGAGAGAGAGAAACATCAATGATGAGAGCGCCCTCCTCCTGCACACCTCGCCCTGGGGATTGATCCCACAACCAGGCATGTGCCCTTGAGCAGAATTAAACCCAGAACCCCTGACCTCAGGCCGATGCTCTATCCACTGAGCCAAACCAGATAGTGCTCAACAAATAGTTTCTTACTGAACAATTAGAAATTCAGGGCTGGCATGTAATGACATGTCATTCTGTGACTACCATGTTGTAAACTGTGGCAGCAGATGCACCAGCCTGGTTAAGTGGGTATAAATGGGTTTATGGGTAAGTAAGACAATAATTGTTTTTCAATAACAGCAATTTTCAACCGATGTGCCACAGGAATTTTTAAAACATGCAATACCTGACTATTTAGTCAGGGGCACTGACCTCTTTTCCCTTAGCGTGTCAAATTAAAAAATGACAACAACCAACACAACAGCCTTTTGGTGTGAATAAATAAAAATTATACTTATTGTATTTTTACAATTAGTTTATGTGTGCCATGAGATGAAAAAGGCTGAGATTCAAATGCAGTGACTAATGTCCAGGTTCTATTTTGTTATCCACCTATTGGCTTGTCATCCATCTACCCATCCATCCATATATCCATCCTAACTACTTTAAGCAGGTCCAACCTTCTGCAAAAATAAAAAGCCAGTGATGTTAGTTCTCAGCATCTGTGCTGCCCCAAAACAGGCTTCAACTACAATGTTCCCCCCTTTGAAGCCACATGACTCTCTACAAAGCACCACTGGACCGATAGTTTACCCTACGTGGACTGGGACCCTGGAGGGAACCGCAGGCCCTGAGAGCAGGGGACAGAGGACAAAGAGGGTGCTGGGGCTCCTACAATCACACCACAGGCCGGTAGCTTCCTGCCCTACCCAGTTATCACCATGTTTCAACCCCAGCGTGACACAGCTCTGAAACGGCACCTATGCCCGATGCTTTTATTGAGCGTTTACACTCGGCAATTTTTAAAATCACTGGCCCCGAGGCAGATCCTCTTCAACCCCCGTGTTTTCTTAGTGAGTAGACATTCGCAGACCTGGCGGCTTTCTTCACACCCTTTTGAAGACTCGCCTGCTGACAACATTATTCATGGTGTGTTTCTGAAAGCAAAGAGGAGTCTGTTAGGGTAAGCACCTGTGGCCCTATCCCCAGCCCGGGAGTCTGGGAAGCAAGCGGAGCCCCGCGGGAGGCCTGCTTCAAGCAGGAGCATCTAAAGGGAACTCACCGCCACCATTTTCTTGTCTACGACTTGTCTTCTGATTGTTGTCTCCTTGCCAAGCCACCTTTGGACATGGACCAGTGAGTTGCCGTCTAAGTTTACGACACTCTGTGAATGACAAAGGAATCGGTCAGAAACAGCAGTTCACTACACTCTCACCGACATAAGACGACACTTTAATTTCCATTTTGAAATTTTTCCTCCCGATTCCTCGCCTCAGTTCTGTTATAACTTAATACCGGCAGACTAGGGAAGCCTCCAGAGATTGTTCACTGAGCGCCCTCCTCCACCAGACAGATGGACCCCAAGCGGTGTGTGGAGAATTGTTTTCCTCTACATGCTTTTAAACTTTTTATTTTTTTTACTTATATGTTTTTGTTAATTCTCACCCGAGGATATGTTTAAGAGAGTGGATGGGAGAGCAGGAGGGAGGGAGGGTGGGAAAGAGGGAGAGAGAGACATCCATGTGAGAGAGACGCATGGACTGGTTTTCTCTCACACGTGCCCAGACCAGGGCCTGAGATGGAACTGTAACCCAGGTACCTGTCCTTGACTGGGAAGTGAACCTGAGACCCTTTGGTTCTTGAACTGACGCTCTACCCACTGGGCACACTGGCCAGGGCTACATGCTTTTAATTTTTTATTTTATCTAAAGTTTTACATATGTCTCCTTTTTCCCTGATTGACCACCCGCCCCCCGCCCAGCTATTACCACCCCAGGCAAGCCCCCACTGCCCCATGTCTGTGGCCATTGGTTCTGCTAATGTGCATGCACACAAGGCCTTTGGTTGCTCTCTAACCACCAGCACCACCTTCCCACCGACAGCAAAGAGAGATCGTGAAAACAGGGTAAGGTTTGGGCCCTGTCAACCATCAGGATAATTTGCAAAAAGGTTGCCTTTGGAGATGTGCAGCATTAATGAGCTCAACAAGGTAATCGATCAGATTGGATATGAATGAACCTTGTCCATCCACCTTCTGGGCTTTTCCTGATGGGAAGGACCGGGACCGTTTGGGTCTCACCTTCACATGCCGGCCGTCGGCTGTGGCTTCGTCAAACTCCTCCCCCAGCCTGAAGGAGATCTCGAAGTTCTTGAAGGAGGTCTCTGTCCTGATGCTCACCTTGTCCCCGGGAGCGCTGATGCGGATCCTGGGCTTCTCCGAGGCGGCCAGCGGCCGGATGGTGACGGGCACTCCTGCAGGGCGGACACAGCAGCCGCGTTTAGGAAGAAGTGCCAACCGGCTTCTTGGCAGCAACGTAAAAAGAGTGCGGGCTGCCGAAACCGGTTTGGCTCAGTGGATAGAGCATCGGCCTGTGGACTGAAAGGTCGCAGGTTCGATTCCGGTCAAGGGCATGTACCTTGGTTGGGGGCGCATCCCCAGTTGGGGGATGTGCAAGAGGCAGCTGATCAATGATTCTCTCTCATCGATGTTTCTGACTCTCTGTCCCTCTCTCTTCCTCTCTGTAAAAAAATCAATGAAATATATTTTTTTTAAAAAGAGTGCGGGCTCGGGGAAGTCCGGGGGCTGTGCGGGGATTCCCCCGTGCTCTCTAGGCCCACCGCTGGATGGGCGTGACCCGAGCCAGCTTCCCTTTCTGACCCTAAAAGGACCGGGCCTCTGAGGGGATCAGATGCGGGGTGGGGGTGCCGTGACCCTCATTTCAGAGAGGAGGACGCGGTGTCCCCGAGCGGTCGTGAGGCTCATGCCAGCTCAGGTGTGTGGTGAGTAGCAGAGCGAAACGGAAACACACTTTTCTAATTGTTCAGGAACTTCAGAGAAGCAGGCTCAGCCGCAGCCACTGCTGCAGCCCGGGGGCCCCAGCGGGAGGAGGCCGGGGAGGAGGGCGACTGGCGGCCTTCTGGGCCCATCCCATGGTCAATGGAGAGCCTGGGACCCAAGTCAGCCCCAAAGTGGGCCCCGCCCCCAGGCCCACCACCTGTGAGTCTGTGTGTGCACAGGAGACCACGCTGCACTGACAATGAGCGAACTCCTGTGACCTGGGCACTCCTCACACCGGACGCTGAGTGGGAGGAGCCACAGTCCACACCCTCTGGCAGAGGTCCCCGGGGCAAGGGGCCTGGGGGGTCCCACCACTGCTGGTCTTCCCCTCCTCCCTGGCAGAGGCCTGTTTGGGGAGGCTGAGGCCCCAGGTCTGGCCCACAGGGTCGTGGTTGGTGAGGGGTCAGTGCTGGCCCTCCCTTTCCCGGGCCAGACCTAGGTAGACACCCCCCGCTCCCAATGGAGGCTCCACAGAGAACGGAGACATCCTCGGAGGCTCCAGAGCTGGCAGCCTGTCAAGAAGACCTGCCCCCCCCCCAGGATGACCCCCGGGTTATGAAGACAAATCTAACCCCCAGTCTGCTGACACTTTGCCCAGAAAGGCCACTGATAGCATGAGGACCTCTGTGCCCCCTACACCCTGTGAGACTGCCGTCCGCTGGGCTGGAGGCCGCCTGGGGACTAGCGGCCACACACATTCCGGTGGCCCCGGGACAGCTGCTGTGAGACCATTCCACCCTGCCCTCTGTCAGTCACACCCACCGGTGCACCCTCCCCATTGGGGTCCAGACTTGTTTCATCACTGGGGTGAGGCGAGCACTCTCTGCTGATCCGGCCTCCGGAGCCTGGCCTTCAGGACCCATCCCTGCTCCCTCACTGCCTCCTGGTCCTCTCCCTCAGCACAGCCTGGGGCAGGAGGGGCCTGGGCGCCGCCTCCTGTGTGTCTGTCCACCAGCCGCAGTGCTGCCCGCGAGTCCTGAGCCTGGAGCAGTGTCCTCCCACCCCCTCTGCCGCTTGTTCCCAGTCTTCCATGTGCGAGCCCTGCCCTCCCAACCCCTCCCCCCCCCCATGATGGCAGCTGCTCTGAGGAGCTCCTGCCACCTGGGTCCAGTTTGGGTGACAGGACAGAGTCCTTCCTGAATCCTGCAGCTTCGCCGTCAGTAGCACGGCCCCCGCCCCCGTGGCCTGGGATCGCTACGTTTGGGGCCGGGCAGGGGGGCCGGGCATGTCTGCGGCTCCCCCCCTAGTGTTTCTGCCGAAACCAGTGAGGCTCTCGGTGCCCTCTCGGCTCGCCTCACCCCAACCAGGGAGCAGTGGCAACTTCCCGCGAGACTGCCTCCCTGGCCCCCACTCTTCTGGTGTCACTTTGTCTGGGTTTGACACGGGCCATGAGGTGTGCTCCAAACCCTCTGGTGGGCCTACCCTCTTTCTCCACAACCGCGATCCTTAGGCAGTCCTGAGAGGCCACAGGCCTTCCGTGTGAATTCTGTGATCTCCACCTGCACAGTCCTGCGCCCTCTCCCCACCTCTGTCCCTGTGTTGCTGCCACTGGTTGTTTTCTGTGAAAATGGCTCAGTCTTGAACTGGCCCAGAGGACATGGGTCAGGAGTTGTGTGGGCAAGGGGGGGTGAGAGCCGTTGGAGAACTGAAAATTAACTTTTTTCTCTTTAAATCCTACCTAATAAAAGGGTAATATGCAAATCAACCATACCTCCGCTACACCCATAAGCCATGCCCACCAGCCAATCAGGAGCAAGTCTGTAAATTAATCCAACCAAGATGGCTGTGGCCACAGAGCAAGCAGGAGGCTTGGGTTTCCCTGGCAATGGAGGAAGCCAAGCTTTCCACACACTCTGGCCAGTCCAGGCCTCCACTCATGGCTACAATGTTTCAATTATAGAAGATACATAAATCCCAACAAAAATGGTTGCAGTCACGGAGTGAGCAGGAGGCTTGGGTTTCCCTGGAAATGAAGGAAGCCAAGCTTTCCACACACCCTGACTAGCTGTGGATTCCACTCAAGGCTATAAAGTTTCAATTATAGAAGATAAATAAATCCCAGATACCAGGTCCTCTGCTTGGGTCCCTGGGGGTGTGGCTGGCCTGCAAACCACCACAGGCCCCTCACCCAGGCCACCCCATGCCCCAAGAGAACCCCCACCCTGATTCAGGACACTCTTCAGGGCAAACCAGCCGGCCCCCACCCGTGCACCAGGCTTCTATCCTATCTAATCCTTCCTATATAATAAAAGAGTAATATGCAAATTGACCATCACTCCAATACACAACATGGGTGCCCCCATGTGGTCAAAGATGGATGCTCCCATATGGACACAAGATGGCCGTCATAAGATGCCCAGCAAGGAAGGGCAGTTGGGGGCAATCATGCCTGCAGGGAATGGCAGTTAGGGGGGACCAGGCCAGCAGAGGAGGTAAGTTGGGGGTGACCAGGCCTGCAGGGGAGGGCAATTAGGGGCAAATAAGCTGGCAGACTAAGAGTTAGGCATCAATCAGGCTGGCAGGGGAGTGGTTAGGGGGTGATCAGGCTGACATGCAGAAGCGATTAAGGGCAATCAGAAAGGCAGGCAGTTGAGCAGTTGGGAGTCAACAGTCCTGGATCATGAGAGGGATGTCTAACTTCCCGTTTAGATCTGATCCTGGTAGGTAAATGAGCAGTCAGATATCCCTTGAGGGGTCCCAGATTGGAAAAAAGTGCAGGCTGGGCTGAGGGACACACACCCCCATGCATGAATTTTGTGTACCAGGCCTCTAGTTTTTTATATTGTAATAAATACAGTGGAAACAACAAAAAAAAGAATTTTAATACACAATTTTTCTTAAAAATATCAAGATACTAGAGGCACAAAAATTTGTGCAAGGGGCTCAGCCCTCCACTGCAACTGCAGCCCTCACCACTGCGGCTTCATCCGGAAGGTCTCCAGAGGTCATTTGGAAGGTCATCCAGTCTAGTTAGCATATTATACTTTTATTATTATAGATACAAGTTTCAAAGCGCCTAAACTGGCTAAAAGAACATGACATGAAGTCCAAGCTCCTGTCTCACATGCAGGTTCAGTCCTGTCTGGCTGAGGGAAGAGGAGGTGGCAAACCAGACCAATCGGCTGAGAAGCCGGCCCTGCTGTTCAGATTGGGATCGTCCATCATCACACATGGCCCCTGCAGGAGGCATCGAATTGCTGACTCCACACCCAGTGTTGATATTAAACTCATTTCACATTCAGACCGTGGGAGGACAAGACAGGTCCGACTGCCAGGAAGCAGTGCCAGCTGTGGTCCAGAGGAGGGCAGGGTGAGTTGTTACAGCCGGGCTCCAGCACGCAGCCTGGGCTCATTATCTCAGTAGTGATGGGTAATTGCATACCTCTATGGGTCTTACCTCAGTTTGTGGGAGATGAAACGGGAGGACTTAGATGGTAAGTGGCACATAGTAGGTGCTCAGTTGTATGCTCTCTTGCCTCTGTCTAATCCAAGCTCCCAATCAGCACATATGTACTCTTGCCAGAAGCCCCAAGTTTCTTAGATGCCCCCAAATTTAAACTCAAAGCGGATGAGTCTATGCATGAGTGAAGTGATAGGGAAATGTGTTTCTTATTAGTCCCTGAGAAGTTAATACTGTGTATGCAAGAGAAACAAAGATTACATTATGAACACATTGACTTCTTACGATGCACTGATTACTTCAGCCAAGTTTTAAAAATTAGGTTAAAAATTTCTTTTATGTATATTGATTTTTTTCAGAGAGGAAGGGATAGAGAGCTAGAAACGTCGATGAGAGAGAAACATTGACCAGCTGCCTCTTGCACACCCCTTACTGGGGATGTGCCCGCAACCAAGGTACATGCCCTTGACTGGAATCGAACCTGGGACCTTTCAGTCCGCAGACGGTCACTCTACCACTGAGCCAAACCAGTTTCGGCAGTTCTTTACTTTTATATACAGTTTGTTATTGCAAAGGAGGTTTCTCTTAATTATTTAAAATTACTAATTTAGATAGTAAATAATTACTGTTCTTCTAGCATTAGTAAAGAATAGTTTAGTTTCTATAGACTGGAGCCACTATTATACATGTTTATGCAATGTGGGTAAAAATGCAACAGTGGGTAGAGTTTACACTTCTGAGAAATAGCCAGTGGTGAGACATTTAATGAGGAAAGATGTTCCATTTTCCCAATAAAAATTTTGAAACTCTTCAAAATAATGTTTTGAAATATCTTCCACAGGTATCAGAACTCTAAAAATTAACCAGCTGAAAACTGTTATTATTACTCTTTTAACTTATAACTTAAAGCAAACCTTGAAACAAATTTAGTTGGTAAATTTAGTTATAGATAGTTATTAGTGTCCATAAATTTGAAGCTGGGAAAAGCTACTTGATGAAATGATCAAGCTAAAGAGACACTCTATCAGGAGATTATTTCCAAAATATTTTGAAATATTTCCATAAAGAATAAATGGACTTAAATACATGGATGGTGACTATAAGGAAATACATGTGAGTCCTGTAGTTCCAAAAGAGACAATTATTGCTAATAATAGAAAAGGCAAAAGTAGCTATATAAACTTCGTTAATCTCAAGTGAACATACCTTAGGATCACAAACGAAAGAGAGAATTATAACAACACTCATGGTGAAGTACAAACCCAGCCCCATCAAAAGAGTATGACTAGGTTCCAAACCTTGCAATGGTATTTCTCACCCAGTTCTTTCAAGTATTCCTGGAAGTTTTCACTGGATTCCAGTACCCAAGTTCCCAAAAAGGGCTCGACCATGATGGAGAGCTTGCTGAGGAGAGGCGCTCACACCCGGAAGCCGAGAAACTTGGGTAATCCAGTGCTCCCCACATCTTCATTTACAAGGCACCCTCGTCATGTGACTTCTGGAATGGCCAATGGGCAGCAGCAAGACCAGGCACTGGCGTAGGCTCATTTTATCTGCCTCCAAATTAAAGTGCAGAAAATTAATATGTAAGTTGAATTTAGGTCAACAATTATAGCGTCTAGCAAAGAGATTTATATGCCAGCTCACCTGATGTGTATAGCTCGTGGAATGGAAACAATCCAATAGAGATCAGCCTTTTGAATGAGTCCCTAGTCAACTCTGAAGGAATCTCCTGGTGATGACTAAGGAGCACCTGGCTGAGGTGTTTTCCCACTTGGTACAAGGACACCCTTGCTTGGCTGCACCTCAGGAGATTTTTGTTTGCACATTGCCTGAGAACTCTCTTCATTAAAATAGTATCTTCCACTCCCTTCCTTTAAGGTTGATGAACTGATAGCAGTTAATGTAACTGAAATACCTACACTTGCTTGGAGTAAGGTGTGGGTTATTATTAATATTATCATTGTTCTTTATCAAGAGTAATTGTGGACTGGAAAGAAAAGTAACAATTATCATTGATTAATGTTCTGTGGTTTAAGCTCAGAAAGAGAGGTAGAGCTAATGCTTGGAAAATTCATTTTTTAGGCTTACAAAGTAAGGTCAGTGTTAAAATATACCACTTGAAATTGTGAGGGAAAGTTTTCTGGAGAAATACAGTATTTGGATACATGCATTCTAAAGACCAAGGAACCGGTTATTTAAATCTTTATGCAATGTATCTAAAAGCATCTTCTGCAACCCAGATAATGGAGGTGGACCTTGCGGGTATATCTACACTAATAAAAAAGAAAGATGCAAATTGACCGTACCTTCATGACTCCCACCAGCCAATTTTTTAAACCCAACAAAGATGGCACTGAGTATGATGCAACCATGTGTGCCTATATGACAAAGAGAGAGGCTTAAGGAAATGCAAACTTTTAAGCGAAGAGTAAATGACACTGCCACCAAGAAAGAGCACATTTAATTATACTTTGGACTTTTCACAGTCAGTTAAGGACACCTGTATTTTGTGCTTTATGATTCACATGATCTGATCATTTGAGTTGGGCCAATACAAACAAAAAGGCACTGTTGGTGTTGGTTGAGGTAATGAACTGAGATTTCAGATTTCAGATTTCTTTGCCCAAGTTCCCAGATTCTCAAAACTCTAGGATTAGTTTTGGGAGGGATCAGAGAAGAAAATATGTAAATGCTCAGGAGGATTAAAATCAGATAGCAGTTGAAATTATAGCCATGGTTTTTGAGTTGGCAAATGAATCAGTTTGAAATTCATGAGCCTGGCCTCTGGCCAGGTGGGCACAGACTGCTTATGTCATTGCAGGCCAGGCTGAGGGATCCTTCCCCCTCATGCACGAATTTCATGCACTAGGCCTCTAGTTCAGCTATAAAAAGGAATGAAGTACTTATTCATGCTACAATGTGGATAAGTCTTGAAAACATTATGCCTGGTGGAAAAAGCCAGATATAGGAGGCCACATATGTATGATACCACTTATCTATACTAATAAAAGGGTAATATGCTAATTAGACTGGGTGACTGAATATCTCCCTGCCATCTGACTTCCTTCTGGACAGTTAGGGGATGACCAGGCTAACAAGGGGGCAGTTGAGGTGGTTAAGCCAATTGGGGGGGGGGGGACATTTGGGGGTGGTCAGGCCAGCAGGGGCACAGTTGGGGGTGGCCAGGCCAGCAGGAGAGCAGTTTTGGGGTGACTAGGCTGGCAAGGATGAAGTTGAGGGGCAACCAGACCAGCAGAGGAGCAGTTGGGAGGCAACCAGGCTGGCAGGCAGGTGAGCAGTTAGGAGCAAAGGTCCCAGATTGTGAGATCGGGCCTAAACCAGCAGTTGGACATCCCTCAAGGGGTCCCTGATTGGAGAGGGTTCAGGCTGGATTGAGGGAAGTCTCCCCCCTCCCCACCCCCACCCCCACCCCCACCCCGCTGGCTCCGTGCACGAATTTCATATACTGGGCCTCTTAGTGTTAAATATTCTTCAAAGAAGTATTTATTCAAACCATCTCTTTGGAGGGGAAAATTTATTTTAAAGGTTGGCACCACAAGTTTATAACATAAATAAGCTAAAGAATTTATTTTGATGAACACATATAGAGGAAATTTATAATGCAATGTATTCATAGATGGAATAGTTACTGAAGTATATGGAGGGTAAAATGGGAAGCAAAACCCTAGAGTTGATTTCAGGAAACCAGGGCACGGGCTCAAGATTAAGTGCCTTCCCAGCTGACAGTCCTCAGAGGTGATGCTCTAATGAAGAGATCTTGCCTAACCGGTTCTAGGTGTGCACGCATCTGTCCGGAAGACAGCAGACCTACATGGTCACTCGTGTTTGCCAGGGGGCGAGTGGGACAAGGTCTCCCATTAGTGGAACCACCCTTTCTCCAGCCCCCTTGCCATTGATGAATCCAGAAAGCACTGTGGTGGCCCCTTTCAGAGCCCATAAGGCCCATGAGACCAATGGGAAAATCAGATTCTGGCCCCCTGAGAGAGCCCTTATGTTACCATCTCCAAGGTTACGTGGAGACAGGATGGCAGATAGCAAAGAGGGAGGAGTGGGCCACTTTGTTTCTGAAATTCTGATCATCTGACTAATAAATTCCATTAATCTTTCACGAGTTTTGTGTTGGAGATTTTGTGACCTACACCTCAAGCCTTGGTCATTGATGTGCCTTTGTAAACAGCTTCCCTGGAATCATGAATCTGGACTCTCAAAGCCACCGCTTCCTGCAGCCTCTCGGCACCGCACGTTTACTTCTTTTTCACTGAGTTTCTCTCCTCACTGACCTGAGTCTCTCCAGCAGTGAACAGGGATAAGGTTTGAATGCACTGCTCCTGCCAGGCCTGCCTATGTAGGATCTTGCAATGTCTGCAACCTCAACCCAGACAGTCCTGTTCGTGCTCCCCCCACTTAGCCTCCACCCCAACCCCCATCCCCGCCTTTGGCACCTTTGTTTGAGCATAAAAACAAACCAAAACCAAACCATTTCCTCAAGTAAAAATAGTTCAAGTTTGAATGTTCTTAATTGTTGATACTAATAAAGGAGCTAGAATACATTAATTTGTTATAGAACAGTTACACGTCCTGTTTCCATGATCATTTCAATGCTTATTTCTTCATTATCTCATTTGATATGCTTCTCCAATATCTCATTGTCTAAATAAACTTTCTTTCTCATGACATTTTAGGTACTAAGCAGTTTTAATAAATTTTAATTTTGAGATGCTACCTTCTCCATTGGTGACACACACTGTGAAGCTGAGCATACCAGAGATATACCTGGTAATTTGTTGCTATACATATACTATTTTAACCATGTTATGTATATTTTATCACAATGTTATGATAAAATATACATAACATAAAGTTCACTGTCTTAACCAATGCTGTTTAGTGATATTAAATACATTCATATTGTTGCACAACCACCCCTAACATCCATCTCTAGGACTTCTCATCTTGCAAGACAGAAACCCTGTCCCCATTAAACCATAACTCTGCTGTCTTCCTCTCCCCCAGCCCCGACAACCACCGTTCTACAGCCCATCTCTGTGATGCTGACTCTTGGAAGAACTCATGTGAGAGGATTGTACAGGTTGTACAGCACCCGGTGGGGACGTGTTGTTGGTGCGACTGGCTGGTTTTGCTCAGCACGTCCTCAAGGCTCATTCACGTTGTAGCACAGCTCAGAGCTTCCTTTGACGCTGAATACTATTGCATTGAATGAATAGGCCGCATTATACGGCCTATTCATTCAATGCAATAGTATCAGTTCTCTGTCCACACACCCTTGGACTGCTGCTGCATTTTAGCTCAATTCTTCTGATTAGCAACGGATTCCCTGGCCTCCTCCCTCGTATGCTGGTGTTATACAGTACACAGGCTAGCTGTTCAGAAAATAATGAGCATGTTTTTAAAGGAAGTATCAGAAACACGACTATATCACCTGCAGCACACAGTTTAGCAGATGCTGGCTTACTATCCAGTTTAGAAATTCCATTCTAGGCACATGGTCCTCCGGTGCTCGGGAGAGAGGCCTCAGAGCCCCCACAGACAGAGGAGCAGCTCACACACCCTGCCTAAAAAGCCTCATTAGCACTTTGTCTGCGTTATATGTTGGAATTCTATGCAGATTTTATTTGAATAAAGAATTCCAGAATACATTTAATATTTTATTTGAATAAAAAGTTCCACGGGTGAGGAAAACCCGGAAACCACAGGCTGTTGCGTGGGTTCCAGAATGACTATTGTAGAATTATCTGCTCCCCCCAGCCTCCCTGTGTGACGGGCCCTTCATTGTGGTCCTCGGCCAGGAGAGGGCTTCACAGCCTCCCTCCGCCTCCCTCAGCATCTCAGGATCATGGAGAGTCTGCGGCTGCAACCCAGACACTCATTCTTGAGAGACTCCAGAGATAGCTTGGCTTACCAATAACTTTCCAGGTTAAAATGGCAGCTTAGAACCTTTTCCTACGCCCTGCATCATGACTCTACTTCTCTCTCTCCTTGTTCCAGGACAGGCAGGTGTGAGTGACTGCACCCAGGCCAGCAGACTGTGACCTCCAGGACAGGCAGGTGTGAGTAACCACACCTGGGCCAGCAGGCTGTGAACCAGACTTCCCTGGTTTTGTTGCACTGTGCTTTTTTTATGAATGGAGAGTTGTGGTCATCGTGTGTTGGCCAAGTCTATGGACACCATTTGTCCAACAGCATTTGCTCGTGTCATGTCTCTGGGTCACACTTTAACAATTCTCACAGTATTTCAAACTTTTTTATTCTTATTAGTCTACTAGAAGCCTGGTGCATGAAAGTCTTACACAGGTA